TGCGGATCCAGAAGGTTGTTCTGATTGAGATAACAGGAGAGTTGTTTAAAGACAGCGCGTTCAAGTGATTTAGACAGGAACGGGAGGAGAGAGACAGGCCTGTAGTTTATAACATCAGACGGGTTGAGAGTGGGTTTCTTTAGGAGAGGGTTTACTCTTGCCTCCATGAGACTGTTTGGAAAGTGACCAGAAGTTAGAGAAGTGTTGATGAAATGGGTGAGAAACGGTAGAATATCAGGAGCGATAGTCTGAAGGAGGTTTGAAGGGATAGGGTCCAGAGGACAGGTGGTAGGGGCGGGCAGAGGTAATGAGGGTAAGAACCTCACTTGGAGAGAGAGGGGAAAAGGAGGTCAGTGTGTTGGTGGAAGGAGGGTCTGGTGACCCAGTGGTGAGTAAAGGTGAGTCAGAAAAAGAAGAGCGAATATCATCAACCTTTTTTTCAAAGTGGGTAACAAAGTCGCTTGACAGAAGTGAGGAGGGGGGAGGGGCTTTTGGAGGGTCCAAGAGGGTGGAGAAGATGGAGAATAGTTTTTTAGGATTGGAATAGGAAGATTGGATCTTATCTTGAAAGAAAGTGCTTTTTGCCTGAGAGATCGAAGCAGAGAAAGAGGAGAGGAGAGCTTGATAGGTTAGGAGGTCGTCACGGTGTTTGGATTTCCACCGTTTCCGCTCTGCTGCCCGAAGGACGGTTCTATTAGCACGCAGTGCATCATTTAGCCAGGGAGCAGGAGGGGACTGACGAGCCTGCCGAGATGTGAGAGGACAGAGCGAGTCCAGAGAGGATGAGAGAGTAGAGAGAAGAGTTTCTGCAGCAGAGTTTGGAGGCAGGAGTTGGAACGAGTCAGAGGAAGGGAGGGCTGAGAGCACCGATGAGGCAAAGGTAGAGGGGGAGAGGGAGCGAAGGTTACGGCGGACAAGTGCAGGATGAGAAGAGATTAGTTTGTTATGTTTGGAAAGGGGTAGAGAGAATGAAATGAAGAAGTGATCGGATGTGTGGAGCGGGTTTACAGAGAGGTTAGAAGTAGCGCAGTTCCTTGAGAATATGAGATCAAGGACATTGCCAGCTTTATGAGTCGGTGGGGACGGAGACAGTGAGAAAGCAAAGGCGGTTAACAGAGATGTTAGTTCGTCTATCTTCCCTGTCTGGAGGTTGAAGTCTCCGAGAAGTACAGCGGGAGGGCCAGTTTCAGGGATGAGTGAGAGGAGATGATCTAATTCCTCCAAGAAGTCCCCCAAGGCGCCTGGTGGACGGTAGAGAACAACAATGGTTAATTGTATAGGATGGGTTACTGTGACGGCATGGAATTCAAAGGTGGAAGGAGTGAAGTTAGGTAGCTTGAAGAGGGAAAAGCTCCATTTGGGAGAGAGCAGGAGACCAGTCATATCAGTTATATCATCATAACAGTGTCACACTCCTAAGTTCATGTCACGGTTGCAGTTTTGTAGGTTTGGGTGTTTTTGCGGTTCTCCCTGTCATGTTTTCCTCTTGGTATATTGTCTGGTCCTTCTTCCTGTGTTTTTCCTCCCGTCGTTAGTTTCCCTGGTGTGTCTAGTTATCTGATTGTGTTCACCTGTGGCCCTTGTGTTTCTCCTCCCCTGCCCGGCTGTTTCTCGTCTTGTGATTACCCCTCCCTGTATTTAGTCTTGTCTCCTCCTGTGTTCAGTGTTGGTGCTTCTTTTGTATGTGACCCAGTTCAACGAAGAGTGTTTTGTTTGTCCAAGTTTATTTAAAGTCCTTGAAATAAAGGTATCGTCAAGTGTAATCTGCGTTTGGGTCCTACCTGCTTCACTCTGCGTAACAAACGGATCAAAAAGTTCAGATTCATTTTACAATAAATCAAGGAATGATGCACTTCTACAAACAAAAACAACATCATTAAAACATTTAAACAAACTACTAAAAGTAGATTAACTACATTATTCAAAAATGTACAGTAACTGCTGATAATAACACAGGGGAAATAAACGAGGCATCTCTTTTCCTCTCCCTCTCTCCCTCTCCTGACAGCCTGTCAGTATCAGGATTAGTCCAAATATATCCCTTGGCGGTTCTAGTGTTCATTTACCGTTTTGTCTTCTCTTTGCTTAATCAATTTGAAACCAAGTCTAACGTAGCTTAAACTTAACGTTAGCTTTCTAGCTAACACAACACATCCACGTAGCCTACCTTTCTCCGTGGGTTTTTTTGTAGTGACGAATGAAGTTGGATGTTGTGGACTGTGGTGGTCCTGTCACTGACCGTTATGCTGCAGACCCTTCATAACGCTGTTCTTTTCTTATTAGCGTCATCGACAACATAATCCTTGAATCAAAACTTGACTATTTTTGGAGTAAAGCTAGCCGCTGCCATGTTAACTGACACTCCTGGGTTGTGTTGGGTTCAGAATTCCAGAAAAGACAGACAACTTCTAAGTTTTTGTAAAGAGAGCAAAAGATATATATCACTTGGCCAAGGACTCGTCACGTCTTTGGGAATCACAGGCAGCAAGGCTGTCATCTGTAACCACCAAATCCGTCAAGAGCCTCGAATCTCGTGCGACAATACATTTTATTACACAGGGCGTTGCCCGTACATTTATGATTGGTCAAGACTAGCTGAAGAGATACCTCGGTTTAGACCTGGTTATCTTTGGTCGGTGCGCAGACTCAGATAGAGTCTCTTGGCAACACGATCCTCCAATCAGCATTCGGCCGGCCTGTGGAAGTCCCTCCCTACTCTGGCACCATCATACTAATTTGTTTTCTCTAACGTTTCTTCAGATATAGCGGGAAACCATAATGTTGCTTCCTAGCTTTGCGGGGGAGCGCGGCTCCCATACAGAGTCAAGGCCGGTGTGATGTGCTGTTCTGACTACCTCTTTGTGTTCTCTCAGTCTCTGCACTCGACCTTGCTACTTTCAATATTGCAAGCTAAACTTTCTTCGGACTATTCCCCTCGTTGGTATCTAGCCCATCAGAACCTGGGATTAGTGATTGTGTCTATTTATTCTATAGTCATAGTCAGTTTGCGCAACTGTGGAGTCTAAAATCACATTTCGAAAAAACTAAACGTAATATCTCAATACAAAAACAAACGCAAATATTTAATTAAAAAAAGTCAAGTCCTTTCAAGTCATCTGTCTCAAGCTCGAGTCGGACTCCAGTCAAGTCACGTGACTCGAGTCCCCACCTCTGGTATTTACTGACGTATTTTAGGCCGTAGAATTCTAACCTCTTCAGCTTGTGTTAACCACAGACCTTATTTCAGGATAACAACCAAAACTAAAAACCATTGACCTACAGACCAGGGGACTGAAGGTGACAACATGCTGACTAATTTACAGGTTTTAGGACTCATTCCTGCATCATTACATTTATATTAAACAAGCAACTTATATACAAATGTAAACCTCGGGATAGCTGTTATAAATAGGCCAGAACGTTTTTTTTCTTCCACCAGGCTGCAAACATGTTTGTGTCTGCTGTATAGGGTTGGGCCTTTTAACATGGGGGTCAATGGGGATTATCTCACTTTCAGAGCCCTAAAGTGGCCATTTGAAGATCACAAGGCCGTGTTGGCTTTATTTATTAGAACCGGAGGTTGCTGCTTGGTAACACACGAGCAAACCCCAAGATATTTAGTCATATATGTCTTAGCCACCCTTCCTGCCAATATCTTGAATTAACCTTCGTTAGATACACATAATGAAGCTTCATTGTTGCCAAGTTACCATTGACCTATCAACGCACGATGCACCAAATAAAAGTCTCCACTTCTGGTCGGAGGTGGAGGCAGGACTGTGTCTGAGCAGCTGCTGTTAGACATTGTGCTTCATTAATGAATGTACATTCACATATCCTTTATTCACTGTAGCAGTTGATAGGATTTCTCAGTGCTCAAGCTTCCTTCGAATGCTGGTTTACCACAATTTGAACCAGCTACAGTTTCAATTCTCATGTCTTGTTGGTGTGTTTCTTTCTGCCATCGCTTTAATGCATTATAGGGGAATGTAAAGTTGTTTTGTTTCTCATAGCATTGAAAAATGACATTGAAAACTATTCAACAGGGATGTATCTGTCTGTCCTGGAAGAGGGGTCCCTCCTCTGTTGCTGTTTCCTTTCACATTTTCTCCCCATTTCAAGGTTGTTGTTGGAGTTTTTTCCTGATCTGAACCCTGTTCTGTGTTGAGCTTAAAATTAACACTTTGTCTTTGCAGAACCAGTGTCTATGTTACTGTCCATAACTCAAACTGTCAAACATGTGTCTTTTGTAGACAACAACCTTCAGGAACAACTCTTCATTGTGGAACTTCATCCAATATTGAAATACCATTTTAAATTAAACGATTTCAATTTAGGTGAATCAACCATTTAATGAACTGATGTTGACTTTGAACACATGGTGACTTAATATGTTAAGTGTCTCTATTTCTGCGACATAACAAAATGTATGCGTCCAATTTACAGCGAGTCATTTTTATTGTGATGTGAAAACATTTAGATTCAGTGTGGTAACTTTATTAAGACTTTATTTAACCATCTTCAGGTAATTCACATTTTCTCCCCATTTCAAGGTTTTTATTGGAGTTTTGATCTGATCTGAAACCTGTTCTATGTTGAGCTTAAAATGAACAGAATCAGTGTCTATGTTGCTGTCAATAACTAACGGCCTTCAGGAACAACTCTTCATTGTGGAACTTCATCCAATATTGAAATACCATTTAAAATTGTCTTTTTTCATTTTAGGTGAATCAACCATTTAATGAACTGATGTAAATGTTGACTTTGAACACATGGTGACTTAATATGTTAAGTGCTTCTGTTTCTGCAAAAAACAGAATGTATGCGTCTTATTTACAGCGAGTCATTGTTATGTGATGTGGGCATATTTAGAATCATTGTAGTCACTTTATTGAGACTTTTTTCAAAGATCTTCAGGTACATGTCTTTGATTTTCTGCAACTGTAACTCTATATAACTTTTAACATATAAAAGCCTGTATTGCCACATAATAGAAAGCTATGGAAAACAGCACTTTTGGTAAAGATATCCTGATCCTAGAGGGGTTCAATCTCCCCTCCCAGTCTTATATTCCTTCCTTCATCCTTCTCCTAATCGTATACTTCTTCATCATGGTGTCCAACATCGGCCTGGTGGTGCTGATCTTAAGGAGCAGCGGCCTCCACCAGCCCATGTACCTCCTGCTGTGCAACATGAGCATCAACGATGTGTTCGGGGCCACCATCATCATCCCTCATGTTCTGCGGGACCTCCTGACGCCGGACTCGCAGCGGGTTATCCGGTACATGGACTGCGTCGTCCAGGCTTTCTGCGTCCACCTCCACGCCAGCGCCTCTCACACCGTGCTCATGATCATGGCGTTCGATCGCTACGTGGCCATCTGCAACCCTCTGCGCTACGCCACCATCATGACCCACAGGATGGTGCTGGTTCTGTCCGTGTGGGCGTGGGTGATCCCCCTCCTCTTGGTGGGGATCCTCATCGGCCTCAGTGTGCGTCTGTCTCGCTGCAGGTGGATTATTGTCCATTTCTTCTGCGATAACGCCTCCTTGTTCAAGCTGTCCTGTGAGAGCGTGCTCATCAACAACATCTACGGCCTCGGATACACCGTGGTCCTGCTGGGCTCGTCCATCGGCAGCGTCACGCTTACCTACCTGAGGATCGCCATGGTGTGTCTGCGCAGTAAGAACAAGACTCTGAACAGAAAAGCGCTGCAGACCTGCGCCACTCACCTGGCCGTCTACGCCATCCTGCTGGTGTCCGGCTTTATCATCGTCATTCTGCACCGCTTCCCTCAGCTGGCGGCCCACAGGAAGGTGGCGTCCGTCATGGGACACGTGGTGCTGCCCGCCCTGAACGCTCTGATCTACGGCCTGCAGATCAAAGAGGTCCGGCAGAGGGTTATGGCTCTGTTTCATAAGAGTAAAGTCGCTTCAATGGATGCTAAATGACACGGTGTTGATTATGTTGAAGTGACTGGATAGCAGTGTATCGACAGAAATACCCCTGACCCATAGTGTGTATCATGTTATTATAAATGACGCTTCAAAGAACTGCATTGTTCCAAAATACATCTTATTTTTCAATGTATGAATGCATTAAGGCTGTAAATAGTGATTACATCCAGAATAATATTTAAATAAAATCTTATGAACTTGTTTTTTACGGATCGTTTCATGACTCTTATTACTCTGACAGTGTTTTCAGTTTGGTTTGTCAGTCTGTAGGATCACAGAAACACTTTTAATGAAACTCAGCAAAAGAGTTTAGCATGGGCCAAGAAAGAAATGATTAAACTATGAAAAATGTGATGCCCCCTAAAGTCGGAACTAGACCTGCCATTCACATTTATTTTATCATAAATTAATGGTTTGGCCTGTAAATATCATAGTTTTGAAGTGAAAGGGTTGGACTGGAAGTCATACTACTCGTATTTATGCATCCAAAACAGCTAAACTAAAACGTTTATTTTATATTTTCCAGAGGTGTTTTCTCTGTAGCACAGAAACAGTGATCTTTAATGAAAGCCGTTGAGTGTGCAGCGCTGCGGGACAGTGTTTCAGATTATAAAAGGCATTGCGGCGCCGGCTCTCTGCAGGAGCTCCAGGTGACACAGGTGAGACACACACCTCAACTCATCATCTGTCTCTGTTAGACTCTAAAGACTCATTATAGAGAGAGCAAACTCCAGACCTTTTTAATTGAGCTTTTAACTGAATTGTATTTTATTCTTATTTTATTTATGTGGTATTAAGTGTTCATGGGGAGATAGTATTGTTTCTGTGAAGCACTTTGAGTTACCATTGTGTATGAGAAGTGCTATATAGATAACGTTTCATTTGATTTGATTATTCCAACATATATATCTGTATATATTCACTACTGGTTCACTTGTATGCTTCTTGCATATTGCTCTGAATATGTTTTGTAGTTTGTTCACTCTTTCTAACACTTTTTCAAGAAACAAAATGCCTGATGTAACCTCCTTATTTTTGATCAATATGCATCTTTCATTTTAAAAGTGAACCCCTTTAACAGGACACCACGTTGAGTCCCCGTAATAGCTTCACAATGTGAGATACACACATATGCTGCATCATCTTTTTAAATTGATATTTATATATATATACAGTATATATGTAGAGTATGTGTATTGAGGTTAAATTCAAAACGTCTTTAGTTTTATATTATATATTATATTCAGTTTTTTGTAAATATTTGTACATGCTTTCCAATATCAATTATCATACCCAGACAATAATTCACTTACATGTTATATACGTTTAATTGGATTACCTAGTGTCTTGTCGTTGCACAGCACTAGAGGAATAATAATACAGTCTCTTTTATCTTGAACTGAAATCTGTGGATATTTAATGAATTACTATAATTGTTTCTAGTTGGCTTTAATTTCACTTTTTCAATCAGGTTTTGAAAGTGTTCGAAAAGAATTTGGACAAAGAAATAAAAAAAAGAAACTGTATTTAAGTAAATTTAACGAAAAGGAAAATGAATAACACCTGAAATAAAGCCTTCACTCAATTATGATACTGTTTTAAAGATTGTATAAAATGTATTTTAATAATATTTTAATAAGTCAGTAAACTTTGCTCTCCAGCAGCCTTACTACTTTTTTCTAATTTCTGAAGATTTTTATTCCCAAATTAATCTAGGACTGTAAAATCAAAGAAAACCAAATGTAATACCCATTTGTGAATTGTGGCCTTGCTGACATGAATGAAAACCTGTCCTGTAATAAATAAACACATGAATTTATTGACTTGTATAAGACGTAATAGTTTTACTGTTTATTTTAGGAATTATTATAATTATATATCATAATTCGATTGTTATATTTACTATTTATTTGACATTTTCACAGTTGTTTTTACTTTTCTAATGCAGGATAAGGCTTGTGTTCAGGTCTGCACCATTACTGATGACATGATTCATCGAAAAACTCAAAACAGTTTGAGGTCTTCTTGTCACCTCTCGGCTACGGCAAACTGAGAACACTTTCCTAAATTTAAAGTAAGTGCCCAATTTTCAAGTATACCCGGTTAATTAAGACCTTTTCATTTCTTTAAGGCATGTCTCTATTTGTTCTTAATGAGTAGGTTTATATAAATGTCTTTGTATGGCCTTTATTTTCTGTATAGACACACAGGTTTATTCTAATAAAGTATCACTGAAACTTCTATAAACAGTAAAACCAGGTCATTTTGCAGGTCTTTTTATTTATTTCCAGAGCTGTGTATGATTTATTATCTTCAGCAGGGTGCTGTATTTGAGAGTAAAGACATTTTTCTCTGTCCATCATTTACTAGGATCCAATAACGCTGTGCAGTATGGAGAACCAGACCCTAGAGGGAGATACTTTGCTCCTGGAGGGGTTGAAGGTCACGCCTCAGTTCTCCATCCCGGCCTTCATCCTCCTCCTCCTCATCTACTTCTTCATCATGGTGTCCAACATCGGGCTGGTGGTTCTGATCAGCACGGAGCGCAGCCTGCACCAGCCCATGTACCTGCTGTTCTGCAACATGAGCATTAACGATGCGTTCGGGGCCTCTGCCATCATCCCGCCCTTGTTGAGCGATATCTTTACTCCCATCTCGGAGCGCTACGTTGGTTACATCCACTGCGCCTTCCAGGCCTTCTGTGCTCACTTTTATGCGAGTGCTACTCACACCGTGCTCATGATCATGGCGTTCGATCGCTACGTGGCCATCTGCAACCCACTGCACTACGCCACCATCATGACCCACAGGATGGTGCTGGGTCTGTCGGTGTGGGCGTGGACCATCTCCTTCCTCTTGGTGGTGATCCTCATCGGCCTCAGTGTGCGTCTGTCTCGCTGCAGGATGGTTATCCTCAACCCGTTCTGCGATAACGCCTCTTTGTTCAAGCTGTCCTGTGAGAGCGTGCTCATCAACAACATCTATGGCCTTGGATACACCGTGGTCCTGCTGGGCTCGTCGCTCGGCAGTGTCACGCTCACCTACCTGAGGATCGCTTTAGTGTGTCTGCGCAGTAAGAACAAGACTCTGAACAGAAAAGCGCTGCAGACCTGCGCCACTCACCTGGCCGTCTACGTCATCATGTTCGTGTCCGGCTCCATCATCATCGTCCTTCATCGTTACCCGCACTTGTCGGATCACAGGAAGCTGGCGTCCATCTTGTTCCACGTGGTTCCTCCCGCTATGAACACGGTTATCTACGGACTGCAAATCAAAGCGGTCCGACAGAAAATCTTTATCATGTTCACCAGGAATACAACGACGGGGGGTAAATGACACAATACTGTAAATACATGTCAATAAAACTATTCCACTTGCTGAAATGTTAAAACCCTGATCTGAAATCCTAACAATGCACTGAAATGACAATGAAATAAAAAGTACCTTTACACGAGTAAACTGAGTTTGACCTTTTGATTTCCTTCATAATACGGCCCATACATATTGGAAAGAAACAGGAATCATAAAAACATTATCAGTGTCGTCGTAGCCCCGTTTGAAATGATGTGCAGGTCTTTCTCAATTCATGGTATATGACATGTATTTTCTGAAGTGGTGCACACTTAATGGTGCAAGTATGGTACATATATGCTTTATATGTAATATATGGATATACAACACTATCCCCCTCTCAATCAACTTCCTCTTGACTGCCTTTTTTTGTTTATCTCATTCTACTATATTTACTTGTTTGCCTGTCCTCCCTCATACTGTAAAGCATCTTTGAGTTGTGAAAAGCGCTATATGAATAACATTTATTATTATTATTATTATTATTATTATTATTATTATTATTCTATAACAGATGCAATATCATTGATCTTAAACAGGAGTCTTAAGAGTAACTGTGGGGGGCCGCCAAATTCAATGTGTATTTTTAAAAGATTAAAATATCTTATGGAAAATATTTGGAAATATGTATCTATTATAGATACATATTTCCAAAATATGAAAACAAATATATATTCTGATTAGTTGACAAAACATGGTTACTGTCAAACCTTAATCCCTGTCTGACCATGTGAGCTAACTCAGCTATGCTGAAGCCATGTGCAGCAAGCTAGCTAGCTACAGCTAAATACTATTTAAAACAGCTTACTATTGTACGCACAATAGAAAGGTTACAGGGTTTGGTCTGCACCGGGTAACAGGAGCACTGTGCCCTCAAACCAAAATGCAGATTTCCCCCGTAAAATGTTAAAGTGATGCCAGAAAATAATTGTTCTGTTCCTCAAAAACTGTATAATGACTCCAGAAATATGAGTATCAAACAGAGCGTCAGACGCAGAGACAGTTTTGTTTTTACGGAGCTCGGACGTCAGGTTGTTGAGATAATTTATATATCTTATAAACAAGATCATTGCCACAGTACTCATACTATATAATATACACTGAACACAAATATAAACGCAACACTTTTGTTTTTGCTCCCATGTTTCATGAAATGAACTCAAAGATCTAAAATATTTTCTACATACACAAAATAACCATTTCTCTCAAATATTGTTCACAAATCTGAAAGAATCTGTGATAGTGAGCACTTCTCCTTTGCCCAGATAATCCATCCCACCTCACAGGTGTGGCATATCAAGATGCTGATTAGACAGCATGATTATTGCACAGGTGTGCCTTAGGCTGGCCACAATAAAAGGCCACTCTGAAACGTGCAGTTTTGCTTTATTGGGGGGGTCTGGGGGGGTCTGAAAACCAGTCAGTATCTGGTGTGACCACCATCTGCCTCACGCAGTGCAACACATCTCCTTCGCATAGAGTTGATCAGGTTGTTGATTGTGGCCTGTGGAATGTTGGTCCACTCCTCTTCAATGGCTGAGCCAAGCTGCTGGATATTGGCAGGAACTGGAACACACTGTCGTATACGCCGATCCAGAGCATCCCAAACATGCTCAATGGGTGACATGTCCGCTGAGTATGCTGGCCATGCAAGAACTGGGATGTTTTCAGCCTCCAGGAATTGTGTACAGATCCTTGCAACATGGGGCCGTGCATTATCATGCTGCAACATGAGGTGATGGTCGTGGATGAATGGCACAACAATGGGCCTCAGGATCTCGTCACGGTATCTCTGTGCATTCACAATGCCATCAATAAAATACACCTGTGTTCGTCGTCCATAACATACGCCTGCCCATACCATAACCCCACCACCACCATGGGCCACTCGATTCACAACATTGACATCAGAAAACAGCTCACCCACACGACGCCACACACGCTGTCTGCCATCTGCCCTGAACAGTGAAAACCGGGATTCATCCGTGAAGAGAACACCTCTCCAACGTGCCAGACGCCATCGAATGTGAGCATTTGCCCACTCAAGTCGGTTACGACGACGAACCGGAGTCAGGTCGAGACCCCGATGAGGACGACGAGCATGCAGATGAGCTTCCCTGAGACGGTTTCTGACAGCAGAAATTATTTGGATATGCAAAGCGATTGTTGCAGCAGCTGTCCGAGTGGCTGGTCTCAGACGATCTTGGAGGTGAACATGCTGGATGTGGAGGTCCTGGGCTGGTGTGGTTACACGTGGTCTGCGGTTGTGAGGCCGGTTGGTTGTACTGCCAAATTCTCTGAAACGCCTTTGGAGACGGCTTATGGTCGAGAAATGAACATTCAATTCACGGACAACAGCTCTGGTGGACATTCCTGCTGTCAGCATGCCAATTGCACGCTCCCTCAAAACTTGCGACATCTGTGGCATTGTGCTGTGTGATAAAACTGAACATTTCAGAGTGGCCTTTTATTGCGGCCAGCCTAAGGCACACCTGTGCAATAATCATGCTGTCTAATCAGCATCTTGATATGCCACACCTGTGAGGTGGGATGGATTATCTCGGCAAAGGAGAAGTGCTCACTATCACAGATTCTTTCAGATTTGTGAACAATATTTGAGAGAAATGGTTATTTTGTGTACATAGAAAATGTTTTAGATCTTTGAATTCATCTCATGAAGAATGGGAGCAAAAACAAAAGTGTTGCATTTATATTTTTGTTCAGTGTAATAATAATAGATTTATATTGTTAACGCTTTTACAGGTGCTCAAAGACGCTTTACAGATATAGTGAAAAGAAAAGAAAGGAAGAACAAATACATATATAGTTAAAGTTAAAGTCAAATAATACAAAAACAATCACACATTAAAAGCCAGGTTGAAGAGGTGAGTTTTTGTGAGTTTTTTGAAGGTGGTGAGGTCAGTGCAGTCTCTGATGGGTTGGGGGAGTGAGTTCCAGAGGGAGGGGGCAGCGACGGAGAAGGCTCTGTCCCCCCAGGTCCGGTGATTGATGTGGGTGGGGAAGGATAGGAGGTTGGCTTCTGATGAGCGGAGGCAGCGGGAAGGGGGTGTGGTGGTGCAGCAGGTCTGTGAGGTAGGGGGGGCTGGTTGTTGAGAGCTTTGTGAGTAATCAGGAGGACTTTGAAGTGGATTCTTTGACGGACAGGGAGCCAGTGGAGGTTCTGGAGGACGGGAGTGATGTGGTCTCGGGAGCGGGTGTGGGTGAGGAGGCGGGCGGGCAGCAGAGTTCTGGATATGTTGGAGTTTATTGTGGAGGTTGGATGGTATGCCGTAGAGCAGGCATCCTCAAACTACGGACTCCGGTCCGGATCCGGACCGAACCACCACTGTCTCCGGACTCTGAGCAAATTATACTTTGTATATGTATTATCTCTCTGTATTATATGTGAGACATCGCCACAACGCATTCGCAACGAGTCAAAATTCTCCGCTATGTCCACTGCAAACAGCGCTCTGCATGTCTGACTGTTCCACTGTGTTCCACCTGTGTGTGTCAACGCTTTGGTCCAATCACATTCAGCATCCAGTCAGCGTTTTTTTCCCCCAAACAATCTGCGAATCAGAGGCACAGTAGGGCGGGTCTTCGCGGAATGCGGGTGGGAAAAATGTGTGTGTCTCTTTCAACCTGTCTAAGTCAGAGCGAGAATAAAAAAAAAAAATTCAGAGCGAGAGTTAACAGCTCATCTAGTTCCATCTGTACTGTAGCTAGTAGCCTAGTTTCACCTACCGGGGTGGCAACTGACACCCTACAAATAGGCCTTGCCACCCCAGCTGCCACCCCAGTTGGCAGCTTTGTTTTGAAAGAAAAGTTGTGGCTCATCGGACATTTATGAGAGAAAGTCTCTAATGTCCGAGTACAAGTGAATGCAGCACAAGATGCACGTCATGCACGTCCCCCGGTCCTGGCGCGAGCGTGGACATACGATTGGCGGCGATTTCATTTTGAACTGGACGGCGCAAAACGAGAAGCATTCGGACCCAAGCACTGAAGGAATGAGGTATTTGCGGTCTGACAGAGAAGAGACTGTCAGTGTGGCTGTACTCAGCATTGAATCAAAACGCACTAAAGCTGTTGATCTTAAATCGTTTGTGAGGCGTTTTGCTGAACAAAATGGTAATCGCCGCATTCAGCTGTAATAGACATGTCAACTTGATGCTCTGCTCACGGATGAGCATACACAACTATTAAGATGATGACCTTACGTGTGTAAATATATTGTTTTCTTTGAGGGGGTCTGCCCCCAAAAAACTGTTTTAAGTCCTGAGAAAGTCAAATAAGACGGTGTGTAAAACTACACTGCCCAGCCAAAAAAAAGTAACCACTTTGATTTAACTAGGCCAGTAGGTAAGGACTTTCCACTGGATAATAACTGCAGTATAAAATAATGCATGACTGAAGTGATGGAGACCATGTTGAAGGCAAACAAAAAGAGGAAATAACAGGTCAAATCAAGCAAATCCCCCTCTCAGATTCCACAGCAACCAGAAGAACATAAACACTGGCTGGTGATTTGATTCATCAGCTTTGTGATGGAATAAAAAATGCACAGTGCATTTCCTTAGCTGTGGGTGAGTCCACTGACACCACTGACAATGCTCAGTTGCTGGTGTTTGTGAGTTTTTATGATGAGGCAAAGGGGGAGTTTGTTGAAGATGTGTTGGGCCTGACGAACCTCAGTGGACACACAAGGGGGGCTACATTTATAAAGCAATAATGGGAATGCTGAATGAAAGAGGGTGCAGCTGCCTTTATTCATAACTGCAGCTCTTACACTGCAACTCTGAGGGGTCAAGCACAGACACAATAACAATGAAAACTGCTGCATACAGATTATTTTTGTTTTTGCAACCTCGTGTTAAGAATCTTGTAAAACGGATAATAAATTGTAATAAACGGACCTTTGTCTTATTGAAACATTTATTTTGGACCTTTAAGATTTGTATTGAGTACCCCTGCCGTAGAGG